TGTGATAAGTTCTACTCTATCTGGAGAGCTGTAAAATAGTATGTAAGTAGAGAATAATTTTTTAATGCAGACAGACTGTAAATCACAAATTTATTTCAAGACGTTAATTAATTTTTTGATTTATTCATAGGTAGATTAACCACAATTTTTTTAAAAAGATTTGAAAAGCCACTAGACTCGACGGAAACAGTGACGTCACATGATGTGTTTATTTTTTTTACATCAATAATGGCGGCCTATCGAAGAAGATTATGTTCCCATTCCAATGTTTAACGCGTTCTAAAGCTAATTTTCTGTCGGCTTTAACTTTAACCGTTTGCTGTATTTATTACGTTCCAACACTTATATCAATTTTCAACTGTCTTTTTCATTTAGTTTTACGATAAATTTCTCTAGATCTACAATCTGTCCAAGAAAGTTATAGATCTAGATCTAGAATCTAGGTCAAATCAAAGATTTATTAGTTATAGATCTAAAAGATTTATTAGTTATAGATCTAAATACAATCCAAAACAAGTAATTAAAAAAAGTCTAGTGACAATTTTAGCGCAATTTCCTTGTGTTATCTAAAAATAGCTCTGTCTTAGCGTAAATCAAGAGCAGGGTTAGTAAAACCATTGGTTAGTTATTAAAACGTTTTTTATTAAAAAATGTTTCAGTATTTTACATGTTTTATTTACAATAGAGTAACATGACTAAAAACCATTGCGCGCCTAGCTACTGAACGTGACGTCGCAGCCATTGAACGTGATGGCGCAGCTATTGAACGTGATGACGCGTGTGGTGTGGTTGCATACAATGCCTACTAATTCGGTCCAAATTTTAATTAATTCAAAAAATAATTTGTGACCGAACGAAAGGATATTTTTGAAAACTTTCTTCGGCAATATTGTTCTAAATTATGGCAGGAATCGATTGGTACATGTTTCAAGTCACTAAGTGGTCTGGTTGCCGAGATGTGGGCCAAAAACTGCATTTTTTCGAGGTTTTTTGGCTTTTTCGGGAAATCCATGAAAGAAACCCGTAATTTTTATGGCCTATGTTCATCCTCGTAACTTGCTTAACATAATTGCTTTTGTAACTAGTCATCGATATTGCTTCGTTGAGGAGGAGATACGACTTAAAGTCCGGACACACATTCATACATCCATACATTCATACATTGATTCATCCATTCCCAGAAATGACGAGTTAATAAACGCAATTCTCCAGAATGGAAATTGCGCTAAAAAACGAGACTTAAGCAAACCAGTCGTAGATCTAGAATATAGATAATTATATCTAGATTTAGATAATAATGAGTTTCTATATACTAAAATATTTTAGACCTTTATTATTTTGTATAAATCTTTGTTTCGACTATGCAAATTTTGAAATGCTGGATCCGGGCCTATTTGCGTAGCTTAAGATTCATACGCGGCTTCGATACCGCTAATTTTGCTAAATTATAAACGTAAATTCTAAATATAGCTCAGTCGTAGATCTAAAATATAGATAATTCTATCTAGATTCAGTTAATAATGATTTTCTATATACTAAACTATTTTAGACCTTTATTATTTTATATAAATCTTTGTTTGGAATATGGTAATTTTGAAATGCTCGCTCCGGGCCTATTAGTGTAGCTAATGATTAGATCTAGATCTAGATTCTAGATCTAGCAAGAAAAACTAAACTTAAGACTTAAGCAAACGAGTCGTAGAATCTAGATCTAGATAATTCTATCTAGATCTAGATAATTTCAGACCTTCTTTATTTTATATAAATCTTTGTTTGGCTGATTTAAGATAAAATTTAATTTGAAAGTCACTGCTACTAGACTTAGTTCTAGATCTATGCGCGTAAATCAAGTTGCATGAGGAGTCTCAAAGTATAGTATAAAAATTCACTTGTGACGTCACGAGTAAATAGCTAAGTTGGTAGTGTAGTCGGCTCTCATGTGGGCGGCACAGGTTCTAGACCAATATGTCAATGATATTTTGTTTCAGTTTTTTTTTTAGATGTGAATGATAAAGTTGCCTATCTGAACTTGGCAGGATACAGGGCAGGTGAAGTAGAGTTCATCTGTTTCTTTGTCCTAAGCATATGAAAAGATAGTGTGGTCAGAGACATGCTCGGCTGGAATCGTTTTTTAAACGATAAAAACATGTTGTCTGAGACTTGGCGGGACACTGGGCAGGCGAAGTAGAGTTGAGTAGGTCACCTGTGACGTCAGTATATGAAGGGATAGTCCGAAATCGGTGTTTTCGGTGTTTTTAAAAGATAAAAAAAAACATATTTTTGAATGTGGGGTTTGTTTTTTTTGTGACGATAAGTGACACTGCAGTAGCGTAGCGAGGGGGGGGGGGGCATATGTCCCCGGGCGCCGACCTTAGGGGGCGCTAAAGTGGGTTGGAAAAATAAATTGAAAGGTTGAGGGGGGTGCAAATCGAAAGTTTGAGGGGGGGGTGCAAATCGAAATCTTGAGTGGGGGGTGCAAATCGAAATCTTGAGGGGGGGG